ACTTTCCAGGCTCTATCTCTTGACTATCGAAGGTATGGTACTTTCTATTGCTCTAGGCGACATCTAGAAAGGCCATAACGATTGATTTTATCCCGAAAAATAGTTTAATTTTTTGCCTAAAAAAATGCTCGTAACTTAATGTTCAGAGGCGCTCTACAAATACGAAAAGCAGAATTAAAATCAACACTTCAAGCTCTAATTGCATGCAGTCTGTAACGATCGGCCACTTCGACCTCGTGACCCTCCCTTGTAAGCAAACTGCCAGTAAACTGTAAAGTAACCGTTTTTCAGCGTTTTTCAAAATAGTAGGAAAATTTGGAACGCCCAAAACTCATGAATAGTTTCTGAGTTTTAGGCGTTTTAGGCACTCATCTTGACCGAATGACAGGGTTTTTGGTCTTGTTGAGTATCTCTTCTGGGGCAATATATAGCCACTGATGGCTCAAAATCCTGTTCAAAGTTTCTAATAATCCTACAGTAAATAAGGCTATTCAACGAAGTCAGCATGTCCGAAAACATTACTATCCAAATTTTTCTGAAACCTTCGTTCAAAGGGCCTATCTTACAATGTCGTATGTTGGAAATTCCTACCGTAATCCTATGGTAATCAGGGGCAATGAGTGAACTGCTCCTTATGTAAAGCTAAGCTAAAGCCTCTACACAAGGCTAAGGCAAGGACTTAATGGAAAGAGTTATTAACGATTGAAAAGTGTATACTAAATATCTACTCTTGGGACACCCTGTATTGTTACCTCCATCTGCCGCTTCTTCGTCTCCTCAAATGCTTTTGAAAGTGACACGGGCCCAAAATAAGCGCTGAAAGGAAAATAATATGGTATTCTTTTAGAAAAAGTTTTACGATGGCTCACTTTTCTCAGTGGTGGGTGGTGTTAAACCTGTACTCTCTTCTTCATCAATGAGCGATCTGCATACGTAAACTAACGTCACTGGAGCTTGGCAGATACGGATTATTCGTGCGGAAAAAATGTTACTCTCTTTTATGCAAATGTAGGTGTGATATGGTTTCTATCCTTCATCAACGGGGTTGACGCCTGGAAGGCGAGGCCTAAGTGCCTACTGCATGCTTTTTTGTCCATTCGGTGCCTTATGAATGCTAGAGAATGACCAAGGTACGCTATCGAGAGACAGTGCGTGTTGGGGAGGGGGATAATCGCTTTTCAGCCGCCAATCTCTCACTCGCAATTGTGCCGATCTGCGTGGCTCAACTCTTGCGCGAAGATTTCGCTCTGACTCTGCACCTCTTTCGCAGGCTTGCTCCTTGATCATTGTTCCATACCGAAGTTGGTAAAAGCCGCATTTTGATTGCGTGAGCGTAGGAATTGTTTTGAGGGCACACTTGCGAATATAAAAGCCCAAGCGAGGCCTAGCACGAGCCTCTCCTCCAGCCCCTCGAATTCAAATGAGGCGAAGGGTACTTGCTTTCTGGACATTTTGCACAGATCACTGCAAGGTGCCATGGGTAACCATAAAATGGGATGCTTGTGACTCATCTCGGCGGTGACGGCTATTGGGCTTCCCATGCTTTCCGTCGCTTCATGTTTGTCTTTCAGCAAAGACAAGAACTACGCGATGAAGAGCTTGTGAGAATCAATGTGGGTGGTACAGTGTTTGAAGCGTATCGTTCCACTCTGCATCCCCTTCTAAGCAGAATAAATACTGTAAGTATTGCTTACTGTTCTAAAACTTCAGTTTAGCAAATTTTCTTTTCCAAAAAGGGTGGTAGACGTAACCTAAATCAGGAATATGTATTTGTGAACAGAAATCCAAAACATTTTCTGAAGGTTAGAATGGCTTTTTATTCTATTCCGAAGCATCTAATCTTGATTTTTGTTTCAGATACTAGACTATCTAAGAGACCGCAATAATTTTAGACCACCTTCAGAGTATCGTGCTAGAGAAGAGCTTCGACAAGAGGCTATTGTGAGTATGATTACCAAAAACACATCTCATTGTAGGTTTCAGTACTACAATTTGGCGGATCTCCAGCGAATGTGTGCAGGAATGCTAAACACGAGAGATCGTGTGCGGTTTAAAGAGAATGCTATTGAAATTTACTGGAATTACATAGCAACATTCTGGTAAGTTAGTATACAGAAAATTTAGGAAGAAGAAATGCTTGTTTTACACTGAAATTCTTTTAGGATCCAATCAGGACTAGTTGAATTGAACTGCCTCGATTGTAAGTCTGAAACGTTGGTAAGAGGCTCTGGCTTGGGTGGTGGTGGGTACTACGTGAGTGCTTTGCATATGAAGCAACATATGTTATTGGCTAAAGGGACGATTGCAGCTGTAAGTCATATAAACATGCACTAAAGTAAATCTACTTTTGGATTATTGCAGATCAATGGCACATTTTGCCGAGTGCGATGGGACAGGAACCTTGAACTTAATCTCCCGCAATCTGTACTAGCAAAAATATGAAACACGCATGATCTCCATTTTATTAGTACAATCAGTTTCATAAGCATATCATTGTTCCAGGCTTTTCTCCTCTAACTTTTCTCGAGACTAGCTGGGATGATGTGATGATGTGCATGAAGATACTGTGTAGTGTGTTGTGCGCTGCAAATGCTCCTTCTTTGTTGTCGTACAACATATGCATAACCCTATGAGTTTTCCCTGAAATACGTGCGGTCACAGTCCGTGTTTGGGACTTTGGAGGACGTGGACGAAGCTTTATTGGT